TGCTGAAGTACAAAGACTTCTAGGAATACCCACTGAAGACTGTATAAACCATTGTGCTGACAAAAAAAAAAAAAAAAAAAAGGGTACTTTGGCTATTGGCTTCGCAGATCATGTCAAATATAAACAAGATAGAGGTTCCTGTTCTCAGCTTGTTGACAGAGCACTGTAAGATTCCATTCCACAAAGTCTACATTATTAAGGTCTATGTATGGCTGATAAGATATGAATTTTGGCACTCACAAAAGTGCGCTGGGACGTTAGAGATGAGCTGGGACAAAAAAAGTGTGCATGACATTGATAGGACATGTCATTCCAGATTAAAGCACAGGGGAGCATGGAGAGAATATTGAACAGTTCAAGTCAAATCCTGCTTCAGTGGAAGTTTTGGATGAAAAAAGGCAAGCAGGGTTTGGCTGCACATGGTAACACCGGAGAGTTTCTGTGGACAGGCAGTGCAAGTTGCTCATTAAGTCATTAAAAATGTGAGTGATTCCTCTGGAGACAATTATTTTGTAGGACAGCACAGTGTCAGTGACAGTGGGAAAAATATCAGTGTTCTTCTAGCAGAAAAATCAGAACATTGTTTTGCTTTTGCCATATCACTCGCGACAAGGCTTGTGTTTAAAGCTATTTCAGTGACAGTTACAGCAGTTTAAAATATTTACTTTTACTTTATGTCTTCCATTATGTAACAGTGAGACACTATCCGTCAAGCACAATGGGTTTTTTATATGAAAGCAACAGATGCAAGATCTAAGAATTCTGTGGATAAGCTGGGTTTATTAGATGGTTCGATCAGCATCTTTCAAAGGCTTTAGTCGCCAAATCCTGCTTGTGAGTAGACCGAATTAAGTCAATTATATTAGTTACATAAAGTACACAAAATTTGGCTCCATGGTTATCTTCTCTTTGTTGCATTCCTGAATTAGAATGATTATGTCCTAGGGTTTGTGCCTACAAATTCCATTGACTTCACTACAACTATATGAGAGCGGAATTTGACTGAGTTTTTAGTGCTCCTTTTCTTGCTGACATGTCTACATTATAGCAATGATGTCATATCTCTTCCTTCTTTTCTCAGAAGTCTCCCTCTGTGTGTTTTGCCTTGCAGCAAATGGGGATTCAGTATGTCTCCTTATAAGAAACAAAATTAGAGTCTGATCCAGAGCCCACTGAAGTCAATAGAAAGACTGCCATTGACTTTAGTAGGCTTTAGACCAAGCCCACTGGCCATGTGGTAAAGAGCAAAGCACTGATGAACACCTGGTCTGGATACCCCAAAATCCATGGGACTGGGAGTAGGAGTCCCCGCAGATCCTCAGGTGCCATGTGTTTACGAGGCCACACCCCTTCCCATACCCCATGGACACTAATGAGTACCCCTGCCCTCCGAAGAGAATAATCCCTCAGGTTTTTGGTGGCTTCTAAGCTACAGCTATTTGGATCTAATTCAGGACTGTGGAAAAGAGAGGATAACCATAAGGCCAAAAGCAAAAATGTCCGCCTTTCTCCTCTTTTGTGTGCAATGCAGTATCATAATCCTCTCGTTTTACTGTCTGCTGCAGCATTTCCATATGCACCTCTAGGGTATGCCATTAATTCTCATATCAGCTATAAAGAAATAAGTTATTAGAGAATAAGGCTTTCAATTTGTTTTGGCTAAGTGTGTCATTAAAAGGATATGTAAGAAAATAATAGTTGTTATTAGTATTGTTATTTAATTCATTAATTTAGAAGTTCAACTAAGGACCATTGTTCTAGGCACTGTACAAACACATAGCATGTAATAAGAGTGTACAAAACACACCCATGAAGGTGCTGCAAGATTTACTGATAAGCAAAGAGCAATGAAAACACCAAATTTATCTTTCCATACACTAAACTCTACTCATTTAAAACTGGATTGAAAAAAATCAATTGAAAAATAACAAAATACTAAAGATAGTAACATCCAGAAAATATGTAATGGTGGAAGCAATTCTGGTTGCATTTTATAGTTACCAATAACCAAAGCTCATTAAATTGGAATGCCATCCTTTGGAGTGGTTTTCTTGCTATAATTGCCTCTTGCTGTTCTTCTGACTTGTGGTGTTCCTTTTGCAAAATTTCTAAAATTCTTAAATACCGCACATGGGACTAGCTAGTATACATACACGCCCCTTCCCCCTTAGCAATATGGGAATGGCAGGGTGGTTGTGACCTCCTGTCACTTGTTGGGGGTTTCAACATCCGTGCTGAGAACCCAAGATCTATATATATTCACAAAAACCAACCAATAGTCTGAGCAGACTGAAGGAAACTAGCGAAAATATTCTATTAACACCAGAGAATTGTCATCTGATTTGCACCATCTCAATTTATACTGTAAGCCCCTCGGAGCAAACACTATGTCATATAGCACTTACCTAATAATCAATAGCAAATTGATGCTTATTTGTATGAGTCTGGTGCCTATGTTAAGACTGAAGAATTAATGCCTATATTTTTACAAAATTTGGCCAGTCAGAGACAATGTCAAGCTAAATCTGTGCCCTCATGATACTTTTGTCATCAAAAGTAACAGCCTCACATAAATCATGGAAGAATGGAAGAGACATGTAATAGCAAGTTGAACAGAGGAAAAGCAAAAACAGTGACTAAGATATATTATTTTCAAGAATTTTACCTGATCATTGTCGAACACTGTTCTCCGAGAACAAATAGGTTCCTCTTGAGCTCAGTGTGCCTATTAAAGCTTAGTCTTTCCCCAGTGCCCTCTTAGGACATGACTGGGTGCTGTACTCACTCAGCCCCTCATCATCCAGGTGGTCTACTGTACAGGTCTGGCGAGGGAAAGTCAGCCTTCTGGCTCAGGTCCGCTGGAGGTCACCCATTTCGGGGTTCAGGAGAAAAGACACACAGGGCCAAACATGCCACAGGCCTCTCTTCCTTCAGGGAGACTCTGGCAATCCACACAGTCTGGCTTAATGTCACCAGGCAAGCAAATGACTTGAGGTAACCATTGGTGTGTGTGTGTGTGTGGGGGTATTAAGAAGGGTAGCAGCAGATTAAGAGTAAGAGCAGAACTAGAAACAGGTCAGAATCAAAACCTTCAGTCCAAACTAGAGCAGGTGGGGAAATGTTTTTTTTTTTCCCCCGGAGGGAAAAAAAATTGTTTTGTCTTTATTTGTCACAGAACAGTCTGATTTAGTAAAACCAAACATTTCCAGCCAAAACCAATAGTTTTTAGGTTTTGGATTTTAATGAAAATGAGAAATTTGCTACAGAAAGCAGACACTTTTCACAAAAAAATGACATTTAGTCAAAAACCCAATTTTCTATGGTGAAACAGTTTCAACAGAAAATTTTCAACCAGCCCTAATCATCTTAAAATTATACACAGGTGTGGGAGACAACTTCATGAAAATACCTCAAAAGATTTTGTTGGTGTCAAATCCAGACCCTGAAATCTACTTTAAATCTAAACCAGATCCAAACACTGGCTCTTCAGATCATCTCTCTTTGTAACAGTTCTCTTTCTTGTCACAAATAACTCTTTGCTAAATCAGGGCAAATAGCAGGAAAAAGTCTTAGTGAACATGTTCACTCACCTGAATTGTTCCTCAATCTGACCATGTTCAGAGCCTTTTCTTTTCCATAGACATTGGTATTTTGTTCAGGGAGGAACTTTTATTTAAACATATTCAGGTGCTTGTGCATTAACAAGAATATTCACACTGGAGATGCTTACATTAGATCATCCAGTCAGGGAACAGAAACCGTATCAGGTGACTTAGTTGCCTAATTACACAGCTGAAAGGGCAGACTGAGAATTTTGAATGTCTGATATGACTCACTGTGAACAGTGTATGAACAATGCACAGGCCTAGGGTTACCATATGTTTGGTTTTTCCCAGACATGTCCGGCTTTTTGGTAATCAAACCCCCGACCGGGGGGAATTTCCAAAAAGCCGAACATGTCCGGGAAAAATACTCCCTGGCTTACCTTAGAGCGGGCACCGGGGGCTACTGTGCTCCCTGACTCCTGGGCTCTGTAAGAGCCGAGCTGCCCGAGCGCTACCGGCTTCGGGCAGCCCCCATGCCTCCGGACCCTGCGCCGCCAGCTGGGCACTTCCCCTCCCGGGCTCCGGGGGGCGCAGAGGAATGGGGGCTGCCCGAAGCCCGAGCACTACCGGCTTCACTGTTTGACGGGCAGCCTCCAGACCCTGCGCCCCCGGCTGGGCGCTTCCCTTCCTGGGCTCCAGCTGCGCTGGGGAAGCGCCGGCCGGGGGCGCAGGGTCTGGGGGCTGCCCGGCAAACCGTGAAGCCGGTAGCGCTCGGGCAGCTCTTTTCGCGTGGCTGGGAGGGAGGAGGGGGAATGCGGGCACTCAGGGGAGGGGGCGGAGTTAGGGCGGGGACTTTGGGGAAGGGGCGGAGTTGGGCGGGGAAGGGGCGGAGTTGGGACGGGGCCAGGGGTTAGAAAGGGGCAGGGCCAGGGCCCCGTGGAGTGTCCTCATTTTTTATTTTTTAAATATGGTAACCCTACACAGGCCTAAATGTGTTGAGGAAAATTATTTGCCAATCAATAATGAATAACCAAAAAATCAGTAAAATTCATGACCTGCAAAAATTGTTCTCAGATAGAAAAACCAATAACTAAATTGCTGACAACAAACACTTCAATCAGTTCTAGCATTGTGTGAGTGCTATCTCTAGGATACAGTACTGGCTAGAGTGTAACTTGCATATACATACCTGTACATTTCCCTTGTGTGGATAAGAAGGGTCATTTCTTCAAATCTTGTAAGTTTTCCTGCACAACTGAGGGTGCTCATTTCAATCTCAGAGTATGTTGCTATGTGAATGCAGATCACAATTTGAGTCAAATTCTGCTCGGTTATGCCAATCACTGCATGTGTTTTACTGGGATTGCATAGGTTTACCAGAGGTTAGAGCCTGGTTCTGTGTTTCTAGTTTACCCTAGGCACACTATTAAACATACATACACAAACACAAACCTGCCTTGTAAACATTATTTTTTGTAATCATGCTTATAGCTGCAGATAACTCGTGCTGATTTACTTCCAAACTTAATATACAAAGATATGGCTGTTAGAAAGTAGCTCTAATTAGAATACAGTCATTCCTCCTGGCAAAAGAGGCAAGTTTCCTGTAAAAACAGACATTACAAATTTGTATAAAAATGTTTTTAAACAACAGAAAGGAAAACATACAACTTCTCTGTATTTATAACTTCACCAGTTGTGTGCATGTGAGTCCATTTAAATCAAGCATCTTATTCAGCTTTTTAGTGGCACTTTTTAGCTGCACTTCTCTAACAGTTTTGTAGCAGTTGAAATGAGTATAAAATACGATACGCAAAACAAGGCACAGTTTTTTTCTTAACCTCTCATTTAGAGAATCAACTGAAATAAACAGCAAGGAAAGAGTGTAAAATTTAGTGCTGACTTGACAAGAAATTTTTATTACTACTTTCTTCAGCAATGCTGGACTTTTGCCACGATTGCCCAAACCGTATGATTCCAAGGTGCAGAAACTGCAGTGATGAGAGCATGGTCATTTTCTTAGCAATATGTGCAGTAGATTGAGCATAAGTCAAGATGTAGATTGGATACGTGTGTGGGATGCTGAACAGAGGCAGCTGATGCAAGACAGAATGAAGAGGTGCACTGCAGGGAATAACAAAAATGCATATTATTGAATAAACTTTTAGCAATAGGTGGGTACATGATCAAATACAACATTTCTTGAAGGTTTAGATAAAGCATCAAGCGCATTAATTCTGCTTTCAGATCCACATCCAGGATTTCAACTCTGCTCTTTCTACATGCATAGAACTCAATTTGATAAAGGAGTGAACACCACGTGAAAGTTGCAGTGCTGAAGGCAGAAGAGAATTTGGCCAGAGAAGCTTACTTTTGAATGTTTATTTGTGCGAGGAGCCTTGCTAATTTGCATTTCACTAATGCATGTATTTTATGATTCACACTCAAATATGTCTTCCTTTCCATGCCCCAGCAAAAATGCAATAGCAGAATGTCAGTGTAAAATTATGAAGACACGTTTTCACACACTTGTCTTGCAAGACAACATACTAAAAAGGCTCAAATCCTCAGCTAGTTTAAATAGGAATGGATCCACTGACTTCAGTGTAGCTACACACATTTGCTCCAGCTGAGGATCTGCTTCAAAATTCATAGCAAAATGCTGGGAAGAATGTCATGGTATAAGGAATTATTTACATCTCTTTTAGGATTGTCCCACTTTGAAGGCTGCTGGTCTGATGTTAGAAAAAGTAGCAAGAGTTATTTCAGGGATGCAGGGGATGAGCCTACCCTTGAAGACAGTAATAAATATCTATTGACTTAAGTGGTACAGGCCTATATCCCCCAATTCCTTTTACTATGCTGTTGCATTAGTGGTCTGATTTGTCAAAGTTAAACAAAAAACACACAATCTGATTTAGGATTCGTCTGACTGCTATCAGTAAATATATTTCATCACGTTGGTTTCAGGTCAGACATGCATAAAGGGAATGGCTGAAAGCCTGTTAAAAAAAAATAGGAATCTTTCCATTGACTTCAATAGGTTTTAAATCAGGAACAAAAAGCTCAGCCACCCAGTTTTTATAAAGGATTTGAGAATTTCACCCCGTACATGCATTTTCTCTTCAGTGGTGCATGTAAAATATATTCCATTTCCAACACTGTTTCTATCTTGCTGTTAACTTGGCAGGGCCAGATGTGAAAGGAAGAAGTTGTAGCACACTCCTCTGTCATTCTTGTTAGTGCCGTTTCACTTTTGTACAACAGGTAGCAGTACTCTATTTTATGCAGCAGGCATATGTGCCTCTCGATGAGCATGTCCTGCTTTTCAAAAACACAAGCCACTACCAGTGTGGTATTGTTTTCCTTTGAGCTAGGTCTCCAACTCAAATTTTGTCACAGACGAGACCAGAAGGGTTCAGACTCAATCATTTTTTTGAAGGAGAGGGACAATCTATTTTGTCCATGACAATCTATTCTGTCATAAACAAGAACATTGGCACAATTTGCTGAATAAATTTTATCTTGCAAGTTATTCTCCCACATGTAATTCTCTCTCCCCCTATCCTTTCCTCTTTTACTGGTGTAGCAATTTTCTAAAAGTGACAGAGATCACCACTTGCTAATCCAGAGTTCTCACGCTGCATGATTCATCTCATGTTAGCAATCTTCAGTTTACCTACTGTTTTAACAAACTTTTTCATCTTAATGGTTTTCTCCAGCTGTAGTTCCTTCAGTAGAGATGAGGGTCCGGATCCTTAGTTGATATAAGTTGGCATAGCTCCACTGAAATCAGTGGAGCTATGCCCATTCACACCAGCTGAGGATCTGGCCTGAAATGTTGAAAAGAGAGGCAAGGTATTTAATGCAGTAGTTTGAATTTGTTCACTTTTAGGTCATGCTGAGTCCTATGTAACAGCCACTTGGAGTTTGCCAGCTTCTGGAGCTCCACTCTGAGCCTTTAGGGGGCCCTACAAAAAGGGCCTAAAACTAAAATAGCTGCACCAGTCCTCTGACCTCATTCCCAGCACACTTCGAGTCAGGGGTAGGGACAGATGGAACTAGAAACCCCTGCTGAGGCCAATAGGGAGGTGTCTGCATGGGGCAATCTGTACAAGCAATCCAAGGGACCAGAGACAAGCGGCTTAACAGCTCCCAATGAGGGAACAGTCTGATAGACACAGGGAGAGCATGTCGTTTCACTTTTGAGTTTGGAAGCTGGAGGAGGGACAGTGCAGTTCACCGAGTCCCTGCTAAACGCCTACTTCCCCTGAAGTGAGTTTCGCGCTGCTTTGAGGCTCTAGCTGCATAAACCAGGCAGTTTCGGCACTGCAGCAACCCACATCCAGAGGGAGAGATCTGATCCAGCACTGGCTACTGAGAGCCAGCTGAAACCCCAGGAGGATTCCAGACCCAGGAACCAGTGATCCCAGTTGGAGTCAGGAGAGGACCCTGTCCTACCCAGGGGTGAAGAAAAAGTAAGGTGACTTTTATTTAAGCCAGTCAATGCCACAGAGCTGCAACACTCCATCTCAGGACATTTAACCTCAGCTATACCATCTGCCTCAGGGAGGTGCCAGGGAAGAACTGGAGTTTGCAAGTGTTGGGAGGTGGGGAATTCCTTTATTTTTAATATTCATTAATAATTAATTAACCTTAACCCTTCCATTCTCCAGATCCTACTTTCCCATTCCCAGCAAAGTCCCCCTTTGTTATGCTGTTATTTCTGGTGTGTCATTCCTTTGCAGGGATTTTTTTATTTACTTTATTGTTCCTTGCGTAATGGGCTTTACAGTCCTTGCAAGCTAGCAGTATTATAATTGATTTTCTCAAGGGTTAGGAGGCCTGGGTATATGGGAAAGTGAGGAGTCACTTTGAGTGGAGGCACCAGATGCCAGAAAAGAACCCAGGTCCCAGACAACATGGGGACAGGGCAGAAAATGCTCCAAAGACTGGTGATCGCAAGCACCACGGAGAGAAAAGGGAGGAGGAGTAAGCCACACCTCAGGGGTGGGACTATAACTGTCTGTATCAGAGAGTTTGGGGAAGGAGCGTAATAAGTGTGTTAGAAGGTTGGGAGGGAATCTTTGTCTAACCTAAAAGCTGACTACTATCCAGAGATGCTGTGAGGAGCAATGAATCCTGAAGCCTGATTATCCTTTCATACAAGCATAAATCAGGACTGGAGTCAGCAGTGTAAAACTGGTATAAATGAGAGGGGAATGAGGCCTATAGTATCTATTCTAGGAGAGAACTTTTTGCTCAGGATTTTTCTGTAATTTGTTTTAATGTCACAGACTATGGCTAGAAATGGACCTACTGTGACCAAATGAACCCTATATTCACACCCGATACACCACTGTAATAATATTTATACAAAATATGTCTTGTAAGGTATCATTTGAAAACTAATAACTTGCTGGTCAATAGTATCATGATGAAATGTAGGTAGCAACATTATATGTAGGGCCCTACCAAATTCACAGTCCATTTTGGTCAATTTCAGGGTCACAGGATTTTAATCATCATAAATTTCATGATTTCAGCTATATAAATCTGAAATTTTACAGTGTTGTAATTGTAGGGGTCCTGACCCAAAAAGGAGTTGTGTGTGTAGGGGGGTGTCACAAGGTTTCTCTAGGGGTGGTTACGGTACTGCTACCCTTACTTCTGTGCTGCTGCTGGCAACGGCACTGCCTTCAGAGCTGGGCAGCTGAAGAGCGGCGGCTTCTGGCTGGGAGCCCAGCTCTGAAGGCAGAGCCATTGCCAGCAGCAGCGCACAGTAAGGATGCCATGGTATGGTATTGCCACCCTTATTTCTGTGCTGTTGCCTGCTGCACTGTGCCCTCCATCAGCAGCTGTCGCTCTTCAGCCACCCAGCTCTGAAGGGAGCCATGCAGAAGTAAGGGTGGCATGGTATGGTATTGCCACCATTACTTCTGTGCTGCTGTGGGCGGGGTGCTGCCTTCAGAGCTGGGTACCCGGCCAACAGCCACCGCTCTCTGACCAGCCAGCTCTGAAAGCAGCGCAGAAACAAGGGTAGCAATACTACGACCCCCCTAAAATAACCTTGGGACTCCCCTGCAACCCCCTTTTGGGTCAGGACACCCAATTTGAGAAACACTGGTCTCTCCCTTGAAATCTGTATAATATAGGGTAAAAGCATACAAAAGACCTGATTTCACAGGGGGAGACCAGATTTCACGGTCTGTGACGTATTTTTCATGGCCGTGAATTTGTTAGGGCCCTAATTATATGTAGTTTTTAACAGAAGCTGAAATTACGACTGAAATGTGTTTTCCAAACAAGTCCTGGAAGGGGATCAACCTGTTCCTCAAAGACGGAAGACAAGCTGATGCCTCTAGCCAGGTGTCAAAGTTGATGGGCAATCACTGCTCAAGTGGCCAGTCTTTGTCAGTGAAGGGGGGCAGGAACAGATCGATTTTCATTTTAACAAACAACAACATGGAAAGGACAGTTACCTGTTCCGTAACTGGCGTTCTTCGAGATGTGTTGCTCAGGTGTATTCCACTACAGGTGTGCGTGCTCGCCACGTGCACTGGTGCCGGAAGTTTTTCCCTTAGCAGTACCCGTAGTGGGGGAGCACCGCTGCGACCCCTGGAGTGGTGCCGACATATCGTGCCATAAAGGGGGCTGCGTGCTCCCGCCACCCTCAGTTCCTTCTTGCCAGACAACTCCGACAGTGGGGAAGGAGGGTGGGATGTGGAATACACCTGAGCAACACATCTCGAAGAACGCCAGTTACAGAACAGGTAACTGTCCTTTCTTCTTCGAGTGATTGCTCATGTGTATTCCACTATAGGTGACTCCAAGCTACCCCTGATGGCGGCGGGTAGGAGTTAAAGGTAAATTCTTAAGGGTTACCCGGGCGGAGCACCGCCCTACCAAACCTGGCGTCATCCCTTGCTTGGGAGACGATGGCATAGTGCGATGAGGAAGTGTGGACAGAGGACCACGTAACAGCCCTACAGATGTCCTGAATAGGGACATGAGCCACATAGGCCGCAGATGAGGCCTGGGCTCTTGTCGAATGCGCCTTCACAATAGGAGGCGGGGGAACCCCTGCTAGGTCACAACAGGTGCGAATGCACGAGGTGATCCAG